GAGTGAGTGAGTGAGAGTGAGTGAGTGAGAGTGAGTGAGTGAGAGTGAGTGAGTGAGAGTGAGTGAGTGAGTGAGAGTGAGAGCGAGAGTGAGTTTGAAGCAGCGCATCCCCGTGTACAGACGAGGTATATCATTCGCGTGTACAGATGAGTCACTTTTCGCGTGTACAGACGAGGCGCCGGCCTCCTACCTGGATCCCTTCTTTTCTTCCTTCCCTTCCCTTCCCTTCCCTTCGACGAGGTGACCAGGGACCAAGGGGACCAGGGGACCAAGGGGACCAGAGGACCAAGGGGACCAGGGGACCAAGGGGACCAGGGGACCAAGGGGACCAGGACGACCATGTGGACCAGGAGCAAGCATACAAGAGACGGGAAAGGAAAATAATTATTTTTTGATTAGATAATTAATTTGTTGTTGATTACGTAAATAAATATTTTTTGATTCAGTAATTAATTTCTTTTTGATACACATGCCCATTGTTTTCACCCATTTTGAACTGGTCCAAGCAGGCTGGACAATTGGGGGGTTCCCAGCCACTGGTTCACCAATACAAATTCAAGTACCAGGATGCGTCTTTCTACCAAGATTTTGGCGACTTCCAGTCCTCAGGGTTGGCCGTCGTTCGATGGTGCCGAAAAGCCCCTGCATTCTACGGCTCCATTAATGATGCAACAACAAGCCCTCTCCATCCAGGAACAGGCACTCCAACGGACATGAGCACAGGACAATTCTTGCATATTCTTGCCCTGATGGATAGATACATGTATTGAGACAGGGTATTCGTTTGATCACAGCCCTCCAACTGGTGATGTTGTTTGTCAGTTCATCCTTACCACTTTGGATACAGTAGAAAACTAAAGAAAGGCATACACGTAGTTGAGGGACAGCCAAACAAACTCCAGTGTCCCCCTTCTCATTTCACATCTTTTCACAGTGGTCTGACACGGATCTTCCCTTCCCATCTGCTGATAAACCTGGTGGCTGCCAGCGTACTGGAGAAGGACACCAAGTCGAGCTGCACACCCGATGTGCCTCGAGGCTCTCTCTCTCGCTGCACAACCGAGCTTCCCCGAGGTCCCGACGGTCTAAGCTGCAGCTTATTGAGAAACTCGGTGGGTCTGAGGTCTCTAAGTCCAATCATTTATACGAATGGATTGGGTCCCATCTTACTACCGGAACGGTCAAGGCCATGTTAAAAACTAGTGATCACTTTTTTACTGACACAGGACAGACCCTACAAATTGCTGTACAAGGTATACACTCTCTGGAATAATCATGAAAGTGGAAAGCCACCTGTTTGGTGTTTGGAACATAGTCATCCAAGGAGCCATGCCATCCACATCCATGATCGTTCCAGGGGTTGTACATCCCCTCCACGTCTGACACGGTTTTATCCTAGAGTGATGGTTCTGTTGTACGACTGGCACGTTGCTGGGATCAATGGTGGGTGCGACTTGGCAACCCTGAGGACAATGTCTCTCCAACCCCCTTTTTTTACATGTAAACACATATTCAGAATGCATTTGCTGGTTTGGGTTTCAGGTTCTTCGTCTGCCAGAATTACGTCTCGGCGACGCGCTGAGCACTTGTGACAGAACTCGGGGCCTCATCCAGCAATGCAAAACAACATGCTTTACTTCAAAATAGAGTTTTTCTGGTTCTTCTTCTCCATCCCTAGAAACCCAGCCTCACCCAGCAATAACAGGTAGGAACTGCCCTAACTTCATCTCCCAGTAGATCCTGAAATCCCAAGGAACAGTAAAGAACTGTCCCATCGTCTGTGGTGGTCTTCATACTACTTTGTCTCATCAGGGCCGATCCCCTTATGTCTTGCGAGTCTTGCAGCACAAACTTCTCCTGCCCTACGCCCTACAACTGCAATGACCTCCTGAAAAAGTTGCTTCGTACCTTACGTCTTATATCGTTGAGGCCCCTTTTGGGCCTAGTGACAAGTGTGTTCTTCAACCGCCTATCCACGGGTCAAAGATCTGGGACTTCTTTTGAGTCCCAGAACATCTTTCAGCGGTCAAGCTATTTTTCGGACGATGGCCTTCAAAGCTGGCCACTTCTGTGCGTTTCTGTTGATAGACATAAATATATATATATATAGTATGTATATATATATATTTATAATTGAGTATAGTTTCCTGTAATGGATGTGACATGTTCAACTGGTACAGCTGTAATGTGGTGGTACACGGTACACATGTTCAGAAAAAAGAAACGTTCGCTTCTTCGAGGGGTTTTCAGCATCTTCTCCACAGCAACCTCATTCAGTCGGCATTAAAAGACAAACTATGCAACAGCACGAGTCCGCAAGACACAAAGAAGCTGCGAGTTGGGAACAGGAACCTTTCTATGCACTCTAACCCATTCTAACCCCTACGTAAGACGCACCTTTGAAGGGCATTACTTTCGCGTACTCTGTCTTTCTATATTTATTTGAAAGACATCAAAAGGACTCAACAAGTCTACAATCATCTAGGGGAAAAAGTCTACAATGTTACCATGTTGGACCTTGTCTGTTGTGGGTCTTGGGGCCCTCTCATTCTAGACCCCTAGTCGTTGCGGGGGGGAGTTTACAACAACTACTTTTGGACGAACTCCCAGAGCAACTGGTTCCCCCAGGTTACCCTATCCGACTGTGCCTTGCAAATGAAGAGCTTTCGGCCAGCTAGATGCTGCCAACTGGAGGCAGGGGTTTCGCGAGGGGCCTTTTGACCCGACCACTGTGCCAACAGAATCACCACTGGTGGGACAAATTGGTGTTTCACCACTTGGTAGGCATTGCGACTTGGTTCGCGATTTGCGGTCACCTTGGGGCCCATTTCAGTCGTGCCAAAAGTGAAATTGCATCCATCTCATTCCACAACAGGCGATATTCATGACCTATACTATACACCATCTTGGGATATCTTGGGTAGAAAGTAAAATGGTCGCAAGCGAGTGAGCAAGACAAGACATGGATTTATTGAAGTAACATACACGATCCATCCTGAATCATAGCCATGGTGAACAGGATGCCTGGGTTTGTGTTTACAAATACTTGGCAGAATTGACTGCACTACAGTTACATTGTAAGCCAAAATTAGAGAAGGCAGAAAAGAGGCAATGCTGCAGAAACCCTAGGAGAAACACCTCTGGCATCACCCTACTTACTGTAGAACATCCCATGTAAGGATATGTACGGTATATTTTTTCCGAGATACACTCAAAATTGGCGTGTCGTCTTTGGTGAGGTTGGGGTTCCGAGTTTGGAATCGATTGGATATGATTGGATGCATTTCTTCGCGTCCTTCCCTTTGCCAAAGAATGGAGGTGCTTGAACTTACAGTATCTAATATCCGACGATTCCTCATTGCCAAATCAACCCTATCCCCTGATTGTCAGGGTGCCAATTGAACCGATCTTATCCCTCAAGGCCCAAATCGCAGATCACCTATATTAAACAATAAAAAACACATGATTTCCTGGGGATCCGATCCTCAAGGTCCAGAATCTTCTGACTTGTACGGGCATCGCTACTAGGAACATGAAGCTACTAGGGGCTCCTGGCCGTACTACTAGGAGCAAGTAGCTACTAGAAACAATAAATACATAGAATTTACATTAATTGGAATCTAATTAATAGAATTTAATTAGTAGGGAAGGGTTTATCCAGGTGCCTTCAGATTCATCGATACCACGTTCGGCTGGAGGTCTTCGTCCTGCAGCGGAAAAAAGAACACCAAAAGCCTGATCGGCAGCCGGCAGCCTCATGGTTGAGCATGTCAGATCCACTTAGCGAAATCAACACAGAACAAGCGCAACCATCAGAGACACCATCAACGACCATGAGACCAAGAACAGCACCCTCCCAGCTGCCAAACTGTTCAAGCACAATTCCTCTGTCCTTCAAGTCCTGCAACATCTGCTGAGCCTCCCCATCGGACGGCCGCCCATCCCGATCGGGACCCCTTGGACCTCCTAAGCACAGTAGGTGAGTCAACATCAACTGCAGCGGAATCTTTGGCCAGATGCATGCGACACGTAAGGTACATGGCCCATGTGAACTTGCAGTCTTGAATAGGCACATGGACTCGTAACATGGACACATGGACAAAGGTTTGTCCTATGCAAAATTCTATGAATCTTCAGGGGGCGTTAGACTTATCGTCCAAATAAAAGGTATCAACATGTTCAACAAATGCTCAGAGACGATTCACTCCATCAGTAAACTCAGACACCAAAAGCCTCTCACAACCACGTTTCGTTCAACCTTCTCGACTTCTCACCTAACCCCCCTCGTAGCTCGCGTACGACGCGCTCGTGCTCCGTCTCCGAGTCACCTCTGGCCAACGTCCTGCTTTGATAGCCAAATCCTCGAAGCAAACGGCAGACGTGGCGGTGGTTCCGGTTCCGTTCTGAGACGGGGTGAACTGGTGGTTTTGAACCGACCGATGGATCCAGTGGTTTCCCGAATTTGGGAATCCTCAGAAGGTTGAATCTTCAATTCATAAAGTTCAGAAGATATGTGTAGAACTGTAGACTCTGTGGAAGACCCCCCACAAGGTCCCATGTTGTTCCCCTTAAGGTCCCATCGGTTTGAAAAGGAATGTTGCTTGCAACATTAAAGGGGTGAGTGCCCAGACGCTCATGGACCCTCCTAAGTAGGGGCCGGACCCTCAAATCCCTAGGGTTTTGAGGGACCAAGAGCAGTTTGGAGCGTCTGGGTGGGTTCCAAATCCACTGACTGCCCCTTCTCCTCCCCGCCAGCTCCGCAGGCTGCATGCCAAGCCCAGCAGCCGCACACGTGTTGAAGGAGATCACATCTGGTTCCAATCGCTCCAGACGCCAGGATTGAAGGTCCTTCAGCTCCTGAGCTCCTCAAAACTGACCGGCGCAACTCGCGGTTTGGCAGCTCTAAAGCGAACGTTGGACTCAGGGACTGTGTCATTTGGGGTTCAAGTTCCTGCAAGGTGGAGCTCCAAACGGGCACCTTTTCATCTGGGCAGGAGGCTCCAGCCTTCTGCCTCCCGGATCGTTTCTCCGCCCGGTGGACCGATCGCCCCATAGACTCGATTGGACCGTTCGCTTCACCCTCACCGTTGGAAAGCATCGACCCCGGCTGCCAGAAACCCAGGCCAGTGCTGGCTGATGTAGCACAACCAAGGATTATGACCCAATGGTCCAATGGTGTGCAATGGCGGGTTTCTTTTCTCCTCTAGAGTCTATAGCTTGCCCATGTGGCTTGGGAACATGCGCCCTAGAGGTGACAAACATGTATGTTATTTCTGTTATAATCCGAGTATGACTATTCTGAGCATGACCATACACTTTCTGGTTGTGTCATCGGTGGTTCAACAACGTCTCGTTCTCCCTTCTTTCAAGAAGAGAGCGACCCCATGTCTGTGAGACACCGTCCTCACAACAGTGGATGTAGCTGACATGGGAAGAGCACTGGGATCTTTCCCAGTTAACAACACCTTTTGAGCTTCTATGGCCAGCTTCTGACGATAGCTCACATTTCTGGCAGTAAAAGTCCTTCTGCGTCTTCCACAAGTTGCTCCGCGAACAGAACTGCCATAGGGCCATATCATGAAATGGACATACCACAAAAACGATCAAAAACGAAGGTTGGCCTTAGCTAAAAGCCAGGGGGACCTGGGGGTAACACAAACAACAGCCTCACGATCTTGAAGCGATATGGTTCTCAATCCTCTTACCTAGCTCCATCAATCCCTTCAATTTCAATAGGCGCCCTTGGAGGATCCTCGAACACCTGCGCTTGAGATGGTCTAAACCGATAGCCAAGCAGAACGCACACGCAGAGCAGTAAAGTGATCAAAGTCGGTTGGTTACAATGGAGCTTGAGTTGTCAGAATTGTTCGAGCCCTGCACATCAAGGATTTGAGCTTCTGGCCAGTGCAAATGTTCCTCCCCCATCATGTCCAAAACCTTCATCTTCCAGAAATTCAAGGGTGCTCGAGAGAACCAGCAGCCATTCCGGTGTGCAGGATGTGGTTCATGTTGGGCTTAGCTTCATTTGGGACCGTCGGATTCTGCTGGGACCATCCACTACTAGTGCTGAGCCTCACGTTTCGACCTTGAATCCATCCCGTTCTCCTGCTGCCAGAGCCGCGTTCATCACGATGAGATTCATTTCCACCTCCCACAACAACGTGGAAATGTGCGGTGCTGTATGTGCTACATGTAGCGCAGCCGATGCGGGACCACAAAAATGCTAGAAGCAAACCATAGAAAACCATACACATCCACACATTCCATTTTGTGTTTCGCTTGTTAAAACAATTTCAAACCAGTTGTCATTAAAGTAATTCGCTTTCACGGTAGAGGTTGACTTCCAAAGATGAAAATACCCACCAGTGATTGAATTCCAGCAACATGCGCCTTCCAATGTCTTCAGTTCTTGGTGAATGCGCGGCCCCGGGAAAGTCGTGGGTGACCAACGCCACCCCCAGTCCTACCTGTGAAAAACAGCAGTGTTTGGAGCTCTATAGATTACAACATGATATTCAACTATACCAACACCACCCAAAGAGTGCTTATTGGATGAAAAAAAACATCTGCAGGGCGTGCAGGGCAACCTTTGGGTGGTGCTGGTATGCAACTCGGCCTTTTGTGCAAAATGTGTACCTTTGACTGCCTCTCAAAACCTCAGGTGGGTGGCACGCCCTCAGTGCAACTGCAGTTTTGGTCCGGTCAGGCATGAGGAGGCTCCAATATCCAATTCTTGATCCTGCTCCTCTTAGATCAAGCCCGACCTTGCCTTGCCATGCAATGTTTCTTCTTCCTCCATTGCTCCTAGCACATCCTGCTTCCCCCTATCGCACGAAGTGACAAGATATATAGGTAGGATACTAGGTAGGATTTGGATGGATTTGGTAGTTGTTTGATGTGCGTAGTGACATAGGCAATTGAGCATGGAAAACTATACTTTAAGGCCCATTCCACTTCCATCTTAATCGGAGCGTCATTGGACCCATCATTGGACCCATCATTCGAACAAGTTCGACGAGTGGGCGTGGATGCGCTCTCTTGACAGAGAACCTTGACCCACCGTAGATGGACAAAATATTCAAATCCTTCAAACCACCTTGACCCGACTGTTGTTAGAGAGCCTGCCAGAGTGTTTGGGCAAATGGACAAACACATCAAAAAAAAGCACTCAACATGGCACTTTGGGGTAAGGGTTTCGTGACAGTTACCCTCCCAGGGGGTTTGATGTCTTTATCAATCTTCTGTAGTTCAAGGATTTCTTGACGGTTGGGTGTCAGAAAAGGATAATATGTCACGCAGTATACTCCAAGCCCGCTACATCAATCTAACAGACCTCAACTCGTGGGTTCCACGAAGCGACAAAGGCGTGGGTTCCACAACAACCACCCCGCATGTAGGACGAACAGGTGGTGTTCCGACACATGCCAAGTCTCTCTATCGAACTGGAAACTGAAACTGCCTGCCTCAAACTACAACAATCTTGCCTTGTTTTCGTGGTCCCCACCCATGCAACTTATAAAGTCGCCTAGAAGGTTGCCATGGCTTATAAACTGGCCATGCCGCTTGCTGCTTTACCCAGTTGGCCTGAAGAATCACTTGCTACTGCTTCACATGGGGCGATTTTATGGAGCTGGTTCCTATGTGGTAGCGCTGGTGGTGGCAAACAAGTATAAGCAGTATAGTATAGTAGGTAGTGACTAGTACTCAGTAGTTATGTGATATGTGGGTAGCGGTCGGTAGTAGGAGCAGCAGCAGTAGTAGAAGGAAACACGTCGAGGTTAGTAGTATTATTGTTAGTAGTAGTAGATAGTAGATAGTAGACTTAGTAGATAGTAGACTTAGCAGTTAGCAGATAGCAGTTAGCAGTTAGCAGTTAGCAGTAGGAGTAGTAGTAGTAGTAGTCGTCGTCGTCGTCGTACTGATTGCTGGTAGTAGCTTTAGTTGTAGTAGTTGTCGTCGTTGTCCATCTGTCTGGCTTGCCTGCTGGCCCAACTGCCGTAACAGGCTCCGTGCTTGAAGCCAAGGGCCTCCCATCAAGCGCAAGACCTCGGTTTCGCCGCGTCGAATTCGCCAGCCCAGTCGACCTTTCACGTCATCCGGTTCCACAAGGGAAACCGAACCTTCCGGTGGATTCACGCACGGGGAGAGCTTGTTGCCACTGACTGGACATGACTGGACTGACCCATCATCGTGTCTGAAGTGCATTTGTGGCCACCCCAGGCTTTGTCCTCTCTCAAACCATCTCCTACTGCAACTCCTGAAAGTTGTTGACCTTAAAAGGGGATCCTGGGTGCACCTGCATGAGACCTTTTTGGGTGATTCGTCCAGGCATCCGGTTCGCGTTGCCTCCTACAATGCCCAGGAGGAGACATATCTTAAAATCATACATGAAAACAAGAAGGTGCATCTGAATGCGCGTTTCTCTGCCAGACTCAGGCGATTTGTTTCTGGGCGACTTCTTCATCTTCTGGTTGGCAACCGGTCAACAAACATCCAAACCCAACATCAGTTGGCCTCCACCCGTCTCAGCGAACCCGGCCGAGCGAGCGTCAGGGTCAACGCCCTTCTCCCGGAGAGTCCTCGGAACAAGACTCGCCAAGACTTGCTTCGAGGAACGTTCCCTTGGTCCCTTGCTACTAGCTTCTTAGTTACGTTCGTAGCTTATGGCCTGCAACCTACTCGCGGTGGCCTCCACCGAGCGTCCGCGTCCTTGTTACTACAGCGTCCTTGTTATCGACACTTAGACTTGGGGAAAGCCTTCTAATACAGGGCCTAGTGGCTTGGTGGTCCCAACTTCCGCAGTCCTTCCGATTTAAGTCGGCACAAAGAGAGACAACAAACGCACTGAAACATCCACTGTCTCTGCTTTTTTCTCACAGCTGTTAGGGTGCACACTGCCCCAAACTATAGGAAACGCATACCACGAACCAACACAACGAACCCATCAAAGCCGCTCTTCGATCGCTCTCATGACGTCTCTTCCAGAACGGGGAACTCTGCGCAGGAACCAACGCGGACTCGTCAAGTGTCTGCAGGGCTTGACGCTTCATCTGCCAAGGGCTTGACGTGGCTCCGGCGGACCTTGGGGAGTTCCGGCCCACATCCCCTGGGAGTCCAGGACCAAAAATAACTGGTCTTGGAACGGTGATCCGAAAAGAACCGTTCTTTTGTGTGTTTTTTTTGGTGGTGACAAAGATAGTCTTTGGACTGCTAGGGCATCTATAGCGAAATCCTGCAGAGAGGTTGAGTGATGTCAAGGGCCCTCTTCTGACTAAGTGTTCTTGAGAGGGGGATTCTCAAGATCCCTACAACCAAGAGGGACTCTCTTCCAAACAGGAACATTGATTTCGGTTGTTTTTTCGCAGTAGTGGAGGTATAGTCGAGTCATAGTGGAATTTTCATGAATTTTCCATTGGCCCGTGTTACCGCAACCAGAAGGGCTAAAATAAAGTGGCTGACAGCCCACTGACTGTGGGGTTCCTTGAATCAAGCAATGTTGATAAAGCTGGGTCCTTGGGTGGTAGGGAGAATTCAAGAGAATTCCCTGATCCAACCAGCCTGGTTGGGTTTCATGGCCATTTCTGTGTTCTGCCTACTTCTAGGAAAAAACAACAGCAATTCGATTCAAGAGAGCTTGCCAACCAGCAAAATCATGTCCATGTAGTCCATGTAGTCAAACAAAGTATCATTAAAAGCATGTGGCCGACCTACATGACTGTCCGGTGCCCCCGACAAGTGACTCTTGACATCAAACAACACCTCCTCAAGAGCTGAGGAGACAGTGCAACCATGAAGATCGGATGATTGATGGACCAATGGGACCGTGTTCCTTTCAGCTCCGAAGCTACCGAGTAGGCTAATCAGATCACCCCAATTTGTCTGATTTCTTGGAGGTTCTTTTGAGCTCCATGCTTTCCACAGATCTTTCAGAAAACACGCGACACTCGATGACCCCGCTCCACACCGCAATTGACCCGACGACTGGGGGCAGTTGCTCGGAGTGATTTTCCCGAACGTCGGGCCTTGTCTAACATCACATAGCCTTCATCCAAGTCGGCACACAGATGCACTCAGACTTGAACATCGCTCAACTATGATCAACTCCTTTGCAGTTCCATCGATCAACATCCAAAAAGATCACGCCAAGTGGCAGGACCACATTCAACATCACCACGTCCACTCGGAGGGTCGGCACCAGAAAAAGTCTGGGACCGCGGTCGCAAGGCTTCGAATCACTCGGACGCCAGGCTGGATCAAGGTCCCCAGGTTCTTGGCGACTCACCTTGAGGACTAGGGACCACGGTGGCTATATTAATCGCATGGTTTCTGGCCGTCGTTCAGATCCCCCATGGATCCCTTTTGCATGCAAGGGAACACATTTGCAGGGGAGTTCGCTGTTGGGGTTGGATCTGGCTGGTTAAAACCAACATGGTGAACGACACAAGTTGTCAGTCTCGAGGTTGAATGCTCTCAACATGTGGCTCCGCTACGCACTGGCAGAACAAGTGTGGTATCAGAAAACCTGCATCGGTTTGACCCTAGCTTGTAAACCTCCGTGCAGAAAAACTACAGGAGATATACTTGAATGCATCTGTTGCTCGATTCCACGTAATTCCAATCAATGATTCCTGGCTTATGCCATAGGCAAAATTTAAGTTTGACACCTCGTCGAAACACGGTGAAATCAACTGACTAGACAAACGAGTGGTTGTCATACAGGCAAATCAAATGGAACAGCTTTGGGTGGGCAAAAACAGGTGTGCCTCAAAGTGAAGGACACCTAGCCAATCCAGGAAACATACAACTAATTTGTTTGGAAAACTGCAAGCAAAACCCAACCCCCTGGACTGGTTCCCTACTGCTGTCCAATAAACAGTGGGAACAATGTCATCAACGTCCTGTCATCGTGGCGGAGTTTGACAACACAAATCCTAAGACACTGCGCCAAATGTTTGATTTCTTTACAAAACAACTCTTTTGGGCGCTGTGAGGCTCTCGGCCGCTCAACAATTGACCCCAGCAGTCAAAACGACTTCCCTTGTGCCCCGCTGCCTCTGCAAATGATGCCAGGCAGCAAACCACCTTTGGAACCGGCCAGTGCAAGGCTGCGCTTTGGGTGGTGAAAAAATGCATCACAAAATACCAAGCACCAACCTTCACTTGGTTGAGAGATGCTGATGATTGAAAATTGAATGTTGTGCTCACCGTCACGCGTTAAAAAAATTGGACCCGTCACTCAAACACGAATATTTTCTTGACTTCCCCCAGAACCTTGGCGCGCTGCAACATCAAATAACTATGACTATAACCAAGGTTATCCCCCTCCCGCCACCAAAAGCAACACCTGCCTTCCGGCAGCTGCCAATGCTGTCATCTTGGCCGTCTCCCCGCGTGCATCACTCAGGCCACTGGCTTGGGTCACAGCGTCAGCTGCACGACGCCAGTCGTTCTTCCGCGCAAGGCGGGACAGGCGCACGGTGAGCTCTTGAGCCTGTTGTGGTAAATCAAAGGTTTGGAAGGTGAAGTATGCTCAGTTCCTGCTGACTGGAGAAAAAGCATTGCAGCTCACCCTGGTGCCTCATTCGTTTTCGCTAAACAGCACCACGGTCAGTTTTACCACAGGTGGTGGAAACGAGCAGGTTTGAAGCTGGTCAAGTAATGATCTATATGTATATATATATACCTAGTATCTAGCAATCTAGTTTACTCTGGCTTAGTTGTCGGTGGGGCTGGGATCCACTGTCACTGGCCTCTGTTTGCGAACGGCCTTTCAGGTTGTGCTACTCGTGACGGGGTGTGAAAACCGGACCACCCAAGCGCAAGCCACGCGTAGGTTTCCAGCGGACAAGCTGTGAATGGTTCTAGCCTGCTCGGAATTGTTGACTCTTGCGCATAGCACAGAAACACAGCTGCAGTTGCACTCAGGGTTTCCTGTCAATTTTCTTCGAATCGTCTGAGACAGCGGCTCCCGCGGGCCTGGCTGCGCGGATACTTTGAGCTAACCTATTGCCCTGGCGGCTTTTTCCAGCGTAGGTAGCAACTCTCATAACTTTTGGTACCTTCCGAATTCATATTATGTACACCTTCGGAGGTTGGCTTTTGGCTGGGGTCTGGATGATTAAACCCTTTTCAGCATGGGCTATTGAGTCCTTCGAGGGCCTCATAGGACCCATGAATGGGAACTGCAGGAGGAATCACAGTCTCTGGGCTTAAGTCCCGCACGCGGCGCCTCTCATGGCTCTTTTTTGTTCACACTCACCAACCTCCACCCCCACACTTCGCCGTGGAAACGATCTACCGTTGCATGTCACCTTCGACCCAGAAAGAAGAACACCACATCTGTCTCGGGACGCCTCTACTGGCCTCTGTTCAAGGCCTTCGGCCAGAGGTCTGGGGGTGGCACTCTCAGCTGCATGTGGGTCTTGGCTACTGCACGGCGTTGTAGAATGTAGGGATGTGGGTCAAACCAGCATTATGAACACCCAAAGCTTGTGATCAATAGCCTCCATGCAAGTACAAAGATGCAAACACATCATGACCATTCATCCTGGAAGGGAAGCAAAGGGCCTCTCGGTTTGCGTCGTTGTTATAGGATCCTTCTTGGATAGGTCCAAGGCACGAACCACCTTCCCTGCAGCACTGACTGTTACTGGTGAGTGTGGGAAACCCGCTTATGCTTGGCTGGACCATCTGCACTCCCATCCTCCCAAAGGAAGCGACACAGAAGTCACAAAGTATTGTTTATTTTTTTGGAGGACAGTAATTTCTCAAATGGCCATGTCATGTTCATCCATGTTCCAACTTTCATGTGTTCATCAGTGTTTCTTGCAATCTGTCACACACAGAGAGAGTGAAAATCACCAGAACTCCCTCATCTCTCCGTCATTTCTTACAATCTTACGTATCTTACGTATAATGTGTGTATATATATGTATGGTACCCCCAAAAAAAAACCTATGTTCACATCACTTTTGCTGGTATTTGCAATATTTTGTGTCTATTTTGGGTTGCCTTTTGATCCTTGGTTTTTTTGGGGGGTACCATATATATATATATATATATAATTAGGCTTGCATTGAATCCCAAGTAAATTAGAACCTATAGTGATAGACCTTTGAATCAACATATAGTTTACAAATAATTGAAATAGACTCAAATTTGAATTTGAATATACAAAGTAGAGTAGAGTTGAATAGATTGGAATTTAAGTTTCATTAGAATTAGACTGGAATTTATTATTTAGGGTTTGCAATTCTTTGCCTTCTGATTATGATGTACTTGCTCAACTGCATTCAATAAGAGGAGTACAATTCACACCCTAAAAGCAAGACATATGGTTTTGCATGGAGTTGCAATGAATTAGATTACTCCATCCAAGAACTGTTTAGTAAACACATAACCTTATGGATTTGGACATTTTTGTAGTACATAGTTAAATGAACAAATATGCTTACCAACTGCACACCAGCACTCAGAAACATAGGTTTTTTTTTGGGGGGGCTAGCATATATATATATATATATATAGTGGCACTATACAGTATACGTGAGACTCATATTTGGTGGTTGTTCATGGTCGCCGATGCATTCGTTCGTCTGGGTTCCACGACATGAAACGACTTGAATCACTTGAAGTTGAAGACCGACAGCCACCCACCGACCAGGTCTCCCCGACTGCCTCCTTCAAGGCGCCACACGGGCCACGGATGGGGCTGCGAGCTGCGAGCCTAGAGTGGCGTGGCGGGTGCTGAGACCCTTTATATCGCGGGTCCAGAAGCGCAGCATCACAGCTATGGGATTTCTGGAGTCAACCAGTCAGTCATCACCTCATTGAATGAATCAAATATCTGTGAGTCTGTGAGATGTCGTGTTGATTTCAGTATATATACATGAATACACATGCAGCTCTAAAACAGTGCTTCACATCCGGAATAGGTCTCTCAGTGCTCGCATTCCTCTTCCAAATTGCTGGTTCTTTGGAGCTGCCGAACGGGAGCTCTCTTTTGGGGGTCCCCCAAAGTACTTCCAAATGCTTGGTCCAAAACGAGCCGCCTCACCCCTCTCCCCAGTCAAAGCGGCTTCCTCCGTTTCCTACACCGCCCGAATAAACCGGGCGAAGGCAGCATCCGCCTGCAGCGGAGACGGTTGATGATTGGAGTGGTTTCGGGTCCACAAAAGGGTGACGAAACCCTTCGAGCATGGATACCGAAAGCATGAGTTCAGCTCAGCTTCTGTTTCTTCCATGGTCCATGTATGTCCGTTGATGGAGCGAAACCACACGTTTACAAGGCCGGATCCTTTGAAAGAGTAAGGCAAGCAAACCAGGAGCACGCCGCGCTGTCATCAACACCGATAGAAAGTTTCTGACTAAAGGTGACAACACCCAGAAGGCTTTCTCATGGAAAGGCACAAGGATTGACCTTCTGGGATGAGTGATCCCTGCTTTGTCAAACTGCGTAGGGCAGGGACATCCAGCACTGACATCCCACATGTGTCACATGTCAGGCCTCGAGGGACTCGAAGGGACTCGAGGGACTCGAGCTTCCAAGAAAGATAAGAAAGGATCCTACACTCCCGATGTCAACTCACATGGACCCGGGTCAAATGGCACCTCCAAGACTGTTTTGATCTACAAACCAGTGGTTTTCAGGGTCTATGTTAGTTTTCAGTGGGGTCATTTGTCACCCATGCATCGAAAACAGCAGTAACCGGAAACCCTTCACATCCCTTCACTCAATGCTTCGAACGCAAGAAAGTTGTCATACATAAAGCATCATAAAGCGCTACCAGCTCAAAGTCTCAAAGTGCGATGGCATAAGCCCGCTGCATGTACAGCTGCCGCCGACCCAGCACAGGAAAACGCCCACTGAGCCGACCGACCAGCCAAACCAGCTTTGGCACCAAATGTTCGCACCACGTCCATGATGTCAGAATTTGTGGCAAACCGAATCAAACCATGTCATGCTACTACTCCAAAATGACCATTCTAAGCAGCATACTGGATCTTTTCCAAGTGATGTCACTGTTTGCTATGATTTGCTATGCGGATGTCTTTTTTCCAACCCCCCAGAGGATTTGGGATGAGTCGTGAACTCTTTGTGTTCCCGTCTCCATTTCCACCGGTCTACAAATCATGCCACCTTACAGTAATGAGTCGCTCAAAGATCTCAAGAAGTCTCAAAGATCTCCAACTTCCATAGCTCCAAAGGAAGGTATTGGAGGCCTTGACTACCCATCCATTCTCCCATGCTCATCCGCCATGCACCACCATGCCATCCATCCCCATCTCCATCTGCCTCAGCCATGCCGCATGACCGCAGACTCACCAGGCAGGTGAACACGAACGGCGCGCGGCTCGCTCTGCCACGAGCGGCACCGCGGCGAGATCTGCAGCGCATGGTGCCATGGCACTCGCAGAGTAGAAGCACTGCAGGACTGAAGACCGACTAGATCGATACTTAGATCGATATATGTAGAGCTTGTAGGGGGCAAAGGTGTAGTTGGGAATCCAAGAGGTCTGCTAACTAGCAGATCTGTCGGATCAGACCGTCTGTCGTTGTGGCCCAACGGATGTTTTGTGATCTGACTTCCTTGGACTAGACTAGATATAGATGCCTTCTGATGCACACGGAATCCTCCTAGCATTGCTCCTTTTTATTAATCTTTATAAGTTGCAAGTCAATTGACCTCTGGAATTGCCTGGAACGAATTAAAGCTTCTTCCCCCAAAACGGTCATGGTCGAGGTCCATGCGCAGAAACGACACGCAAAAAAGAAGGCTTTTGTTCCGAGAGGAAACGCCATTCCAGCGCTGACAGAGCATCCAGCAAAGCAGGTACCTGGCAGCTGGTGACGGACTTATTGAAAAGCAGGGGCTATCAACGTGTCATTGAACCACTAGATTGAAAAAAGATTATAGGAGAATGCACTCCCAGATCCCCAGCCACTTGCCACTCCGGCTCTTAGCGGTTCTCACATTTCTTCAACAACCAGGTCATGATAAAGCGCAAACCTCCAAGGCTCCCGGGACCTGGCCTGCTCCGGTTCCAGTTGCTCCTCGCAGTCCGCCACAATCTCAGCGCAGCAAAAACACTCCACGGGATCTGGTAGAGTCTACCTTCTTCTCTGGCGCCGAACATGTCATCTGTTGGCACTTTCTTCATACACACAGCTTCCACAGTAGGAATCCTGCAGTCACATCACGGTGAAACCGCTCACAATGTCTCACAGAGTTCTAGAAAACTGTCTCAAATATGGATCTCTTTCCACCTCCCAGGATTCCGGACTGGATCCCAAGCAGCTGCCACTTCCGGTGCGACGCCCCCAGCGAGGACGCCTCGAGGCGGGGCATCCGGCAACGAGCGTCCAGGCCGTTGCTTTTTGAGGAAGTTCCAGGACACAAAAACCCCAAACGCTCCATGGGACTGGCATATTTAGATACATTGACCCCTAAAAACCACCACCCCAAGTGATCGTGATCGGCAAAAATGGCAGTCTGATGGAGTGTCTGGGTACTACAAATACGATATATACTATATACTATCATATACAAATATACAACTTTGAGGATTCGTTTCGCGCAGTGTAGCAGTGAAACAACTCCTATTGTTTATACACATGCCCGTGATTTTCCCATCATCGACCACTGCTACAGGTGAGGCACACTCCAAACAAATACAAACAAATAGAGGAAGTCACCTGGAGCCCGCCGGTCACACGGTTGTGCTTCCTTCAACACAAGCAATCAGTCCTGTCATTGTTTGGGTGCCCAAGATACACATCCAATTGAACTTGCAATGCACACATCGCTTGCCGCTTGCCTCATAGTCATAGTAAAACGATGTAAAATGAAACGCAGAAAGCGATGGAAAGCTTGGTCTACTTGTCCTGGTACTATTCTTGAGCCATGGCATCATGCCAGATCACCTCTCCAAACTACACACAGACACACCGACACACATGCGCCGTGCATCCCTCACTCTTCCCATTTGCCTTCAAGGACTTCAAGGCTCCTTTTCCAGCTCCTGTCCAACACGCATGTGCCGAGAACCAACTGTATACGTAGGCTCAAGCTTCCTGCAGAAGTGGAATGCTTGATACTTGTCTTACAAACGACTTGCACAGTGCACGCTAAGTGCACCCGGGTGCATGGAGCAATCCAAGTCGTTCGAAGTATATACTCGGTTTCTCTATAATATATATATACATACCAGGGTACAATCTAGATTGTCCAAGCAGTGATGACACTTGTCTCAAACAACAACACTGCTGATGCAAGCAACCTGGAGATACTACCTTTTAAGAGCAACCATGTGTGTTGGTGGTATTGCCACAATCGCAAGGAATCTTGTTGCCATTCAAAGGTATCCGGCCAAGCACATTCAAAGGTATCCGGCCAAGCACATTTAAAAACACTATATAAACACATAGCCGATCATGGCCGCTTTTTGCCCCAGTTCAAGGACACCTCAGATCCCCTCCGCTTCCGAAGCCCAAGCCCAGCCACATCCAGCCACCCACCGTGTCCGCCCACCGCGTTGGCCCGATCGCCTGAGGGAGCGGCTCAAAGGGAGCAAGGTCAGTACCTGACGCTGGAATGACGGAGTCGATCGGTTGAAACGGCAATCCAAACATGTTCCTTTTGGGTGAGTGCCTGCATTTCCCCAGCGACAAGGCGTTCGCTTTCGGCACTTCCTCTCCAGACTGCACCGCACTTCCTCTCCGCCCGAAGAACAACACCAACGGCCAGGCGCGAAAACGTCGCCCGGTGACTCACGTCGCTCTGAACATTGGCGTGATCGAGCTGGTCAGCAGCCTGCAAGGCCTTGCAGTGCCATGGCGGTCGTGTACGGAAAGAGAAGGGAGAGGGGAGGGTTCGGTTGGAATTCCACAAAAAAAACTCGAAAAAGAAACAAAACATTTAAAATACAAGGAGATGATACCCCTGGACCCCAACGAAGCCTCACTGGGAGCTTTGAGAAGTCAGTGGAAGAGAATGTTTGAGACATGTCCAAGACATGCCATTCATCATGATTCACCCTGATTCACCTCTCAAACTGGCAAATCTCTCCGGGCTGTCTCCATGAGGATGCCTTCCAAATCCTCTAGGCGATCTGTTCTCACTGCGGGACCTTGAAGAACATCGCTGCCCGCAGCTCACAGCGATTGTCACATCGTGCCTGATGCCATGCAGCCACACTCTGCAAGGCTGAAACCTGAGGACATCGCTGAAGAAGTTGAGAGGCCATTGTTACTAGTAGCTTCTTGTTCCTAGTAGTAAGAATGCTCCTAGTAGCGATGCCCTTTGTTCCTAGTAGCTTGGTGGCCAACCAGGCCACATAGAGGGACGTTGACAGAACTTCTGTGGCCAACCGGGCCGTACTTTTCGCCCCTGCCCTTCCTGTGGTTTCCAAGGGATCGCAAACCAGTGTGGATTAAAAACAAGACCGGAGCAAGGGATCTCGCTGGCCTACTTTTACAGATCTTCCTACAAGAACCTCCCCCCCACCACTTCAATAACCTCCATCGCTCCTCCGGAGAAACCGCCAGGCGCCCCCGGCCGCCGCGTTGGAGGTGACCTCGCCCACCTGCAGCGCTTGGCACCGAAAGAGGCCCATCCTCGGTGCGGCTGGAGAGGTGGCAAGGCCTGGGAAGGTCCAAATGGGTGGGATGCACATGCCAAAGTGATAGCTAGCTTTGGAGGATGTGCTAGCTCCGTGTGAAATCACTCGTTGATGAGTGTTTCCATGGGTTTCTGATTGGCTCTTCTTTTTCCTTGACACATTCTTAATAATCTTTGTGTGGGCCTTGTAGTTTCATTTTTCAGTCCTGCGGCACATTCACACTTCTATTCAACGCGGTAGGGCCCGGCCAATTGGGCAAAAACCAAAGGATGAGTCTTCATACGTGCACCTCGTTGGATCCATGTCCATCCAAAGACGTGTTCACCATGCCCTAATTTTGGGTATCACAAAAGCCGAGAAAACAAGCTTTACAAGAGAGGCCTTTCTGAACCTTGCAGAGTTGGCGCTGGAAACAGGTCTTCTGACCAGAACTAGTTGGTGGTTTCAACTCATTTGAAGTCATATTTTTTCACCATATTCGTCAGTGGATCTCATCCGAAGTCAAGGTTTAGACAAAAAGAACACATCCCTGAAATAAATCACCACTCAGATCAAAGACCATCCGACTTCTGTTGCTTCTGACCCGGACAGCGGTGCGAGCCGAAGGCACGACTGGAGAGCCAGCCGCCACTGAAGCGCCTGACTGGAGAGCCATTCCGAGCGAGGAAAAACCGTTCATCGATCTGCTTGCTTTGGGAACCCTCAGTCAACCCAAGTAACTTATGTTCAAGGATACTCAGTAGAAAGTTGATTAAAATCCAAAAACATGATTCCAAAGTTCAAGTATCTGACATATCTCGACTCTCGACCATCTCGAAGGTGGCCACTGGACGGGAAGGACCGCGCCGCAGTGTGATTGTGCTGTAATCCACCCACAGGTAGGAAGGACCCACCAACCAAAAGACATTACCATCACGTCTTTACATCTTTCCGTCTTCACCGGGACCTGCACTTGTCATGGTCTGAACATGAGGGAAGCCCCTGACCCGCTTCCTATCTGATCTTGCTGGGGCTTTCTTGAGCGTTCTGAGTTTGTACGCTCTGTATACCAGGATCCTCAAAGTCTTTTGAAAAATCGGTGCTTCTGGACCCTAGCTGGTTGCACCAAGAAGCACGTCCATGAACCCTCGATTTGAGTGAATCGAAGGGTGGACAACAATTGAACACCAAATCAGCGGTTCCTCCAAGCAGCACCCTTTCCAAAAGTTGCACGATCGTCGACACATTCTTCTAAAACGGTGCTAGGGTGATGATGATGATGATGATGATGATGATGATGTTGATGATGATGATAGGCTGGCACAGCAGTGCGCCGTGACCTTCATGTCCAAAGCCCACCCAACGAGGTGGTGTGCTTGTCAACCATACTTCAGGTGCCCCTGGGAGAATCAGGATCACATCCTCCCATTTCTGTGGCAGCTTTCCATTTTGCAATTGATGTTGCGTGCAGCTCAACCGGTGAGGCTTAAGCAAACCACCCTTGCCAAGCTGCTGTCTAATAAACGGTTGATGGCCCTACGGGGCTCCAGACGGACTGCGTGTAGCATGTGGTTCACGCCTTCGTCGCCTGATCGATGAGCGTACGAAAAGAATGATGATGATGATGATGATGATGATGATGATGATGATGATGATGATGGTGGGTTAAGTTTCCCCAAGAATCTAGGAACCAAATCATTAGAAGCGTGAGCTATCCTGCTTCCATGCTAGTAGCGTAATTCGTCCCTTAATTAAGTAGGCCCCCTACTCAATTGAGTAGGGAGGCGGGAGCGGGCTAAAACGGGAAGGGATCATTTACATCCTTGCGCCCGGCGTATCTCTTCTCCGATGGCCTCTTTATCCCTCTTTATGCCTGCGCACCGGTGCCTTGTCGCAACAGCTCACCAGTGCTCCGAGGGTCACCTCATCCGCCTGGGGCCCCCAGAAGGTGACGACCAGCCCAGCGGGCTGAACGGACGCTTTTTGGAGCTGGAAGCGGTGGAGAGAGGGAGCGGTGGATCTGTTGACAGTCAGTCCTACAGTCCTGGTCGATACTGAAAGGACTGGATCTGTTGACAGTCCTTTCAGTATCGACCAGGACTGTAGGACTGTAGGATCTACTATATTGTATAGGATATCTGACCCTTGACCATCCACATTATACTAAAACATTGCATATGGAATTTTATTGTACAAAATCTGACAGATTTATGAAGATTTGGCTACCCTAAAGTGGTTTCATGCTGTGTCATGCTTTGTCATTGTATTGCCACTCCGGTTCCGATGGGCGAGAGACCGGGCCGGACTCGACCTGCGAGGGAACCATCCCAACCACTCCTGGCACGGGATCCTGTTTGGATCCGTGGTGTTTCTGATGGGGCGGTCCAGTTTGGGCCATCAGCGTCCTGTTTCCTGCGGTCCAGGATGAACCAAGCGAAAGGAGGTGAACCATCCGGTGCAAGACCATGGTTGTTCACAACGCAAGACCATCCGGTGCCACGACGCAGATGATGGATGAACCATGGTTGTTCACAGTTCTGTTGCATTGGTGTTTTCGCTATTTAAACATATACAGTAGTTCAAACCACGGCTGAGAAGCTCTCCTCTTAGAAGAAGGGACCCCCATTCAACTTCTTTCAGTGTGTTCTTCTCCCTTCGGCCCATCCGATGCCGCTCCAACCTCAACATGCTGCGACTGGAGCTCTGCCTGGGGATCGACCCGACCGCAACGGTGTTGGATGGAATCGCCCCCCACCTCCCTCCACGGACCGCGCATGGGACTGGTCCGGCACCGGGCACCATGTCTGATCAATGGACCAAGACGGAACACCTACAAAATCCATAGGAAATGGATACCAAGGATACCAGGTATACAGGAACCTGACAAAGTCATCCCTCAGTCATCCCTGGTCACTGTTTCAATGCCCAATCACCATGCCAACGCTGTTTCCAAAAAGTCATCCCCCAGTCACCCCCGGGAGCCAACCCCAATGGAACGCTGATACCCAAACAAGGTTTGTCAGCAAAAAAAAGACCCAAAGAGTGCAAAGACCAATGGAACGCTAGTTCTGAAAGAGTGTGGATTTGATTGATTTACATCCGCTTTCTGCGTGTCAATCTGTTGTGGGGTGTGTGGGGGTGTCAATGTTCGATCTTCTCATGAAGAATCCTACCTTACGGGCCAAGTTCTATCAATCTGTTCATCGGTCACCCAACTCGGTTGGAGGGTCATGGCATGTTGATATATGTTGATACCACTCGACGGCATCCAACCGGACTCTACGAGCTTGCGCAACGCGAGCCAACGGCGCCAGCCAACGGCCCCGGGTACCGGCGTGCTTGCTCATGAAAGTACCAACCTACATGAACCTACCAAGTGTTTGGGCTCCGGGTGTTGACCCACCCCAAGTCTGACATGGACTCTCTTACAACACCCTGCCTGTGCCTGGACAGGCAAAGCGTTTGCTGAGACATCGAATTCAAATCTGGTCTGCCACTGAACGAGTCTCTCATGTTCCTCTCCTGGTCGCTGGCAATGTTTGTTTCAGAACCTAAGGCCTTCTGCGACTTTCCCAGAGTGAAGAACTTTTGAATTAAACGCACAATGTTTGGCTTGTCTTTCGATCAATCTTCGGGTCGATGATTCTCCTTTCACCTGGATTTCACCCGAGCCACTCTAAAAACCTGGAGTCACTCCCTATGTCGTATCACTTTCCTTGCGCGAGGCCTTACGCGCTGCTTACGCGGCCCTCACTTTTGCTTACGCAAAGCAAACTTCCGAAATGCTTACGCGAAATGCTTACGCAATCTTACGCAACCCAGGGTTTTGCTTACGCGGAATTCGATATGACAAGGTCCTTACTTAAGATGTAAAGGCAGGTTTGCTCACCCTGATTTCGCTCTCTTCAACGTCCAGGGCGCAGGGCCCCGCACGCTGCACGGACGAGTTGCTGCCAAGAGCTTCATGAGGAATAACTGACTCGTCCACGTTGAAGGATCTTGCTTCCATTCCATTCCTCCTTACCAATCAAAAAGGTAAGAGAGGCTGAATTCAAGGCGAACATCGAAGTTCCTGACAGTGAGTGAGATTCTGATAAGTGTATCCCTCACTCAAGCCTAGCCTGAGCACATGAGCTTGATCTGCTCATCTTGAACTCTTGACTTGATCTCCCAGCGAAGTGGTCCAACTCCAAGTGCACCAAAGGCCACTTGTGCTGCAAACTCCAAAGGCCATCAAACTTTAGAGTCTCTTCTTGCCGACTCTTCCGACTCTTCTTGCTCGCGATGGAAGACGTCAAACATGCTTGCCTCCAAGCTGGAATACCACGACTCACGACCCAGGATTGGTTGGTTCGCAACAGGTCCCTGTAGCTTCACGTGCCCAGTCACCTGGCGGTGCCGAAACCAGGACCTCCGCCCAAATGGACTGCACACTCAGTCCCATGGTTTTCCGCCCACGTCGTTGGCCCCCGCCCCACCGCCAACCAAATTGGCTTTGTCAGCATCCAAAGTACCACAAGCTCCAGGGCACGATGCCACTGCTTGCCTCTCCTGCGGGCGTAGGGGCCCTCGCACGGTGGTGACAGATGCACTCCCACATTGCCCGAGTTTAGTAGTGGATTTATATGATACTTCCAGGGTAACTACAGTATAGATCTTCGTGGACTGCAACTGTTTGAACCCTGTGTGAAACTGCATAACTTTCTGAGATAGAAGGCCTCCATGATCCTCCATGCAAATGAATCTACTGTAAATGAAAGGGGCTGTTCAAGGCAATACCCAGCATTGAAGGGCCTCAGTTCCCATCTTCGATGGTACGAAAACTCTGGTCTCAAATCCTAGGTTCACTTAATTAAGTCAACATCTGCATGATGGACAACAGTTCTTTGCGGACAGCACACAGTTAAATTTAAAGTATGTTAACACATGAATTAGCGTCCCTCATCCTTCCTTTTTATGGTCTTACAACAGTTTTGTCGCTTGCTCATATTCATCACCACCTCTTGAGCTAAGTGTCTCATGCTGGGCCACTACTCTTGAACAAAATCTGAAAACCAGTTGATTGGGACGCACGCTCCATCTCCTGCAGGCGCTGATCCCTGAGTTCATGGCAGCCGGGCCTCGAGTTGGACCAGGGAGGTTGCCAATCAAATCTATTTGAATCTATTTAAGGACTCATCAATCTAAGCTCATCCATTGGGCTTTGGATTTTCTGTATGTTTCATGCTGCCTGCTGCTTTGTTCAACGTTCCATAGGATTCTCTATGAACTGTTCTCGGTGCGAGCTTGTAGCCACAGGATTTTGCATAATATCCACCTAGGATTAATCAATATCTCCTGAATAAAGCTAAGCAAATCCCAGAACAGATTATTAAATTACCCCCCAATAAAGCTAAATGTTTTCACCCCTGGCCCTAGGTATCCCAAATCCAGCCTTTCTTCTATTCCTTTCCTTTATAGATTCTTATACTAAAGGAAAAATCTCTACCAATACTAAACAGTTGAAAACAGTCTTTAAGTCTATTTGAGGTCTTTCAGGGGGGGGGGCCCCTACCGATTAATCAAAGGTTGACCATCGGATAAAGGGAAACAACACTGGGTTCGTCTCAGAGCTGAAAAAGGAAAAATATCGTGCGTATCGTGCGTCAGGGTACCACTCCAAGCTTCACCCGGTGTCCGAAACAAGAAAAACATCAAACATCAAACCTTGGACGTGATTGTTTTTGTCATGTCCCACAAATGATGGTTTGCGTCGGCCCCCCAAAAGAGGAACGGTAGAACCGATGGCATCAGCAGGTGTCTAGAAGACATCCATTTACCCGAACAAGGTTGACTATCTCAGAGAGAGAGGATGGCAAGAGTGGTTGCCGCGACTCTCTGCTTTTCTTGACTATCAAGAACCTCCAAGTTGAGAAAGCTCCCAACGTTTGCCATGAACAACTCAAACAATTTCAAGTTATTGTAGTATTGAACTGTTTTCTCATAATAAAAATCATAATTAGTAATACATTAGCACGACAAGTGTGGCAAGCATGATTTCCCTGAAAGACTCGACAAAGCCTCAGCCAGCACGTCTTGAGACGTAAAAGACGTGCCCGTTTCGTGCCGCTTCGTGCGGCTAAACGCTGGTGCCTTCCGCCAAACACTCCTCCGGTTGCGACAGGTCGAGGAGCTTGAGACAACTGCCAGTGCTTGAGACCGCTTCCTTTGGTGCTCAAGCAACAGCATGGCCTCAGCTGGGCATTCCGGTGCGGATGCCGGGATGGAATATGGCTGGGCAGTAGATGGAAGGGCCACGCACCATAGGCTATTTGGATCAGCATGAAGATAGCAATCTCTGAGACAAAAACATGAGCTGCGTGGTTGGTACCTATATATCATTTATCATCCAATTGCAACATGGGGGCATCTTAACCACCTTAACATCACTCCACAGCCCATCTTGACCCTTCCAGATTTCCCCAACCAATTCACCTTGCAATTCCCTTCAGGAATCTTTGAAGAATCTATGACCACCCTCATCAAAAACCAAGGTTCATGAGTAGAGAGGCCCCCTTCGGCCGTTGCATCTCACGCCCAGGTTTGCCGAAAGGGTGACCCGTGTCTTCCCATGAAGTCTGCCCCTCGGCCACCACTACTGCAAAGCTGGTGGGTCTCTCAAATAAGAAGGGCGTCAAACTGAACATCGCAAGCCCAAATCAATCTTGTTGGACATCCTCTCATTTGCCTCAACCAAGCCCAACACGAACAAGTCACGTAGTTTACAAAGGTTTTGATATTCCCGGAATAGGCTTATGATTACAAGCCTACAAATTCACCCCCCACTTCTAACCTTGCTTCGTCGAGTTCGCCCCCTACTTCCCAGAAACGGGCGTTGCAAACTCGCACTTGCGCTCCAGCGGCCATTTCCCAGCGCTGAGCTTTCTCACAAGAGGCGACGGCAGCACCATGCCTCGACGGGACTCTCTCGACGGAATGGAAGAGACGATGATTCCGCCCGAGCTGAGACGGCAGGCATAAGGCGATTCAAGAATCGATGACTTTTAAAGTGCAACGATTGGGTTGCAGTATCAATCTCACAGCAATACTTACAAAGTGTGGCCACAACATCTCTGAATGTGTATAGTGTACACATTAAAAATAGATCATAACATGTTGATTGCTCAAAGGCTTCCTTCCACCCCAAATTCATCCAAACATGATTGATGCTCTTTCCACCGACGCGCTCCCCTCGGATCCTCCCGCTCTGGGCGCTGCCCACGTCACCGGGTCGGACGCGCTCCCTGCGCCGACTGCCACAGGACGAAGTGGGGGCCCGAAGTAGAGGTACCAATTAATATGTAGATTACGTGGTTTTTTCGGGCCAGGAGGGTGCGAAATGAACGACCCCCAGAAGGGGATCCTTGGGCCGCCGTCTAAATATCATGCGAAACACGTGGTCGTTTGGTACCTTGTACAGTGTAGCATATACTCACCTGCCGAGTACCCCACGAAGTGGAAGGGCTGGTGGCGTGACCTGGACGGTCTTTGGACCAGTCTTGTAGGTAGTAGCCGCAAGTTTGTGGGGTACCTTGTACAGTCTTTGGACCACTTCGCACTTCACATGCATCCATGGGGATGAACATGTGGAGGGTCTGAAGCGAAGCCGGAGGCTTCCTTTTGTCACTCACACACGCAATCACGCGCAGGTTTTACTGAGGTGTAGCAAAGAACACCATCGCCTGCACCACAAAGAACATGCACTCAAATCTACACATCATACAATACACCAAAATCTGTATTGACATGATTTGACCCCAATTGGTCAAATGGCTGTGAGTCAAAACCTGAGCCCCAATCCCTAGTAGGTTGACCATGTCTAGTCTAGTTGTCTATGCGGTTCATTTTTGGTCCACAAGGGCTGACCCCCTGGTGTGCCATGACCCACAGCCATATGATGAGGGTGATCTCAAGCCCTCCGACCTCTCAGCAGCTCCACGGCCGTAGCCCAGCGCCTCAGCCAAAACGCCGGGCGGCGGCATTCCACGGCATAGGTAAGGAGGGGAACGTGCAAAGGCTCAACAAGACAAGATGTGTCGTTTGTGTATGTCTGCATACTGCTGCAAAAGCGAAAGGGGAAGTCGGGGAAGTGATCGTTTTCTGCTCCGGATCAATACAGCCCGAAAAGGGAAGATCCTCGGTTCAGTGATCCCCGAACCTTGGAGAACTTCTGTATAGGAATGAGAGGATATCAATTTTCAACCAACAACAACACCGTGACAATCAACTCGCGGATGTTGGCCCAATCACCGTTCTCTAAAATTGACTCTACCTTGTACTATAGGAACAGCTAGGCCTTCAAAATACAGAAGCTTCACAGCATCGGCCGACAGAAGAGCGGAAGGAAGAAAACGTCCAAACTGGATCAAGTCCCAATTCTTGGCCATCGAACCTTGCTTGTTTCGGTGGTCTCATATATGTCTCATCCTCTATACAATACTACAAAATAGATTTTAATAGCCGTTCTTCCCTGGCGCCCGAACGCCGCGCTGGCGCAGCTGGAGACCACCGCGCGATGGCCGACCTGTGGCGCGGTCTGGACCGTGGTCGAACAGGCAAGAAGGGAAGACATGCGGCGCATGGAAGTCGCTCCCGGATCCAGGTGTTTCGTTTTCTTTTTGGTGCTTCCATTTCCAGCTCCTGCTTGGTTGGGGGAAAGAATTGGTTGGGGGGGATTCCTGGCTCCCCTGCTTGGGGCTTCCTCGCGGCTTCGAAGGAGCAGTGCGACGGTTTTTCGGAGGGTCGGCTCGTTCGGTCCATGGATCGTCCAGTCCGGCCGACGGAGGCACCGACAAATGGACACTCCATGTATGCCATGTATGCCTACATTGACCCCCCTGGCACCACCCCAACTGATCGGTATATATGCCAGTCCCATGGAGTGTTTGGGATGAGTATTAATGATTGCATAGTAAACTAGACTATTATGATTGTGCCATTTCTCTTGGCGCAATGGTCATTCATCTTATTACCAGTGGTTCATCCATCTGGTCCTTGCCACACCCAATGTCGAATTCAATGGACCGGGATGACTTGGACTCAAGTTCAACTTCATTGCACCGGTTTTTCTCCCAGTGGCCCTTGGCAGCCCATCTCGCCGTTCGATGTTGGGCCCAATCCGTTTCGGCGATCGGTTTGCTTCGCCTGCTCACGGGTTGCGGATTCAGATTGATTGAAGTTGGGCACTTGATTTGGCTCTTGAGCCGCCCAGTTGTTGCACCTTCAGGATCTGTGTGATGCATCACCCTCCATCCGCACCAACCCCCAAAGCCATGGATGGGCGCATTACGGGCACGGCGCTCAATTCTCAAAAAAAAACAAATGGGAGCCAGGAGAGTCAAAACAACTCTAAAATAGCTGTTCTTGTCGTTTATAGACCTCTCCTACCATCAGTTGACCTCTCCCAAGAAACATCCAAGCTGAGTGGTGCTGGAGAAATGGAGGCGTCCTTGATGGTGCATGGTGCATGGTACTCTTTGTACCGTATGCGCCGGACGCCGCCTCACAGGAAGACTTCTGCATGGTGGCCAGCAGCTGAAACACCTGGCCACGTGCGACGAAGTCTCAGGATCGGGGCGAAGTCCTGGGTGCTGGGTCAGTAGGGCTGGGTGCTGGGCATATAGGACTTCTCGGCCAACTCTTGCAAGTCAGTCTATACTACCATAGTGTACAGATCATTAAACGAGTAGAAGTTTAAGGCTGCTCAGAGCTCAGAAGCCCAAACACGGAATATTGACCTACATTAAACCCTGAACCCAACCCAATGTAGCTAACTATCTGTATTAATATATAGTATGTATGTCTGGGATTAGGTTCATCATATCATACCCAACCAGCTCGCATTCTCAGGTCAGCCGAGATGGCCTGCACATCGGTTGAGCCGGTGGCTGAGTGACACCAGCTGGGTGCATCCTGGTCCTCCTGCCTCTTCGTGCGCAGCTGAGGTCATCTATGAGGATGACGTTTGAAACCATCCCGTACGAATGGAACACCATAGGAAACACAGTCGGGTCCCTGCTTCCAGCCTTCTCCACTCTTGGCCCCAGTGCACCTAGGAGCTCGATTTTGGGTGGCTCGAAAGGTGTCGCACCTGGGGGTTTCCCAGCATGACAATCACCCCGTTTGGCTTTTGTTTGGCATCTCTGACTATCCTTCAAGACGACCGGACTGATGAATGGCCGGCCTAAAGAGGCCATCCACTCTTTAGGCTGACAATTCAGGGTGGTGACTGAGCCACTCGAACGAACATGACAGGATCAGGTATACTCTGTGGCTAGTTCCCATGGCCTTTTTTTCTTAACGAGCTGCCATCAAACGGCGATGAGCTGCTGCCCGCTCGTTTTTCGGGCGAAGTAACAGGTGAGTCCCACGCGTCCCGCGCTGACCTGACAAATTCAACACTAGGACCTTCACAATCCATGTGAATTATACAGGTACATGGTGTATAACATTCTATATATTAATCAGTTGCATACCTTGCCCTTAGGGTGAAAAAGGATTTCATGTTGGTCAAGCTTCGGATGGAAGGCCACCAAAGGCGTCGTTTCCCAGCGTCCTTTCAGAAGCCCTTCCCTCCGGGTCCCTCCCTGAGTGCCCCCTGCTGAGTGCCACCTCGCACGCGATCCGGTCCATTTGGCGCCTAGGGACGTGGCGGCACGGCAGAAGGCATGGCAGTGGAACGACACCAAGCGCTTCCCCCACTCAAAAGCTTCCACAAGATTGATTCCAGATGGATGCCGACATTGTTCACATCTTTCCAGTCTTCATGGCTTGTTGGCCCCTGCATCGTTCGACTCTGGGTAGGGGCTCACAACCCTACCCAGCTGCCGCTGTGCGCAAAGCATTTTCGACCAAGATGAAGGTGTGTGGCTCATGTGGCCAGAACCCAAAAAGATCAGTTCATAAGTATCTGGGCTGTAGATACTAACCAAAAAGTCTTCTTCACCTTGCTAAATGGATGATCATCTTGCCGATATATATATATAGTAGTGTATGCTATAATTACATGTACATACTTCCAACATGTTCCAACAGCCCAAGCTAGATGTCACAAACTAGCTCTCCGTATCTCTGCCGCCAAGAGATTTTATACTTGAAAGAAGTGTATCGAAACCTATAGCTATTTGAATTCAGAAGTGGCCGTAATGCTGGGCCGGCCACCTGGCCTCAGTCCCTCATTCCGAGAAGCATGTGCACTACATCCAAGTGCCCTTTGCAGCCTGCGCGCTGAATCGGTTTGACGCCATCCTTGGATTTGTCTGACTTTCAACTCGGACAAACATATCTTCCCCAAAAGATCCCAGGAGAGAGGATTTATCCTGATTATCCAAAGGGAACATTGATGAACATAGAAAATCAGCCCAAGCAAAGCCAGGCATCGAATGAAGTAATCTCTCTGTTGGCACCCTTCTCTAGCAGCAATTTCACGGCTGCCAAGTGGCCACGATCAGCTGCCCAATGCATGGCCGTTGTGCCATCATTATCCCTTGCATCTTTGTCGGCACCCTTCTTCATCAGCGATTTCATCACTGCCACATGTCCATTAGAAGATGCTTTGTGCAAGGGTGTTCTGCCATATCTGTCCTTGGCAGTGGGGTCCGCACCACTTCTGAGAAGCACCTGCACCATTTCCGAATGGCCGATGTCGGATGCCCAATGCAAGGCTGTTGAGCCATCCTCCTCCGCTGCATTTCTGTCTACCCCAGCCTCAAGAAGCACTTTCACCACCTCCAAGTGTCCGCTTGCAGCTGCTGGATGGATCGCTGTAGTGCCATCTTCACGGGCGGCATCTTTGTCAGCACCGCTCTCCAGAAGCAAACGCACCACGTTGACGTGACCATTGTAGGAGGCCCGATGCAAGGCTTTGGTGCCACCATCCTCCGATGCATCTTTGTCAGCCCCAGCGTCCAGAAGCAATTGCACCACGTCCATATGCCCAGAGGCAGCTGCTCGATGCAAGGGCGTGGTGCCATCGTGCGTTCTGGCACGCAAGTTGGCCCTGCTGTCCAGCAGCAATCGCACAACCTCCAAATGGCCATCATTGGCTGCCCAATGCATGGCGGTTTTGCCAGTGTCCTCGGGGGCGTCATAGTGGGCCTTCGCCTCAATCAGCAAGCGCACCACTTCCAAGTGCCCACCACGAGCGGCCAAATGTAGAGCCGGTTGGTTGCCAGGTTCCAGAGAGGTGTTGGGATCTTGTGGTAAGTGAAGCAGCGTTTCGACTTCTGGCAAACGATCCCCAGCACAGGCAGACAGAAAGAGCTGTTTCATGGTGGCATCCGCTGGTTGAAAGTTCAAAATCACCAACTGCAAAGTCACTGGCGGAACAGGCAAGGGGGCCTCATCTGGCAACTCCCCATCGCTTTCTTCCTGCAAGAGCCTCTGTCGAAACCTGGTGAACCCATTCTTTCGAGCTAGGAACTCTTTGAGCGCTCTGATGGGTTGGTCACTTTGGATGATTGGCTGCAACTCCTCACCTTCAAGCTTGGACACAATTTCCCCGGAGACGGCCCGAATCTGCAGCATCGGTGCTGCACAAAAGGAAACACAGTGCCCGTCAGTGCCCGTCTGAGGTTAACAGCAGCGTGTTTTGGGGCGACGGCAGGTCGTGTAAAGTCGCTCCAAGACTCCCCACAGCGAGTGACATGTGCAAGGGTATTTATTGTATATAGTGATCCCCAAATAGATAGAAACGGTTACCAATACAATTTTAGCGGGGATCTGCTTTTCTATCCATTTGGGGGTCTATGTAATATATGCAAATTGCTTCATTCCTACGCAATTTGACGAAATAGAATCTGCACATATGGATATCACCACTCGATTTTGACCAAAAGGTCCAGTCATCAGAGTCAACGTTTGCAAAAACACCTTCACAAATCTGGCCTCTGAAGCATCCTCATCAGAACAGCTGTGGCCTGAGTCACAGCAGACGGGCCGTCGAAGATGAGACAGAGGCCGGCGTGCGAGGAGAACTCCTTTGTTAAGAACTGCTAATCTGCAGACCTGCTGGGGTGGTTGAAAAGGTGTCAATGTAAAATACCAATATATATATATAATTAGAGAGTATATATACACCAGTCAAATGGAGTGTCAGTGTCTAAACCCTGAAGATCTGAAAGTGCCTTGGTGGAATATGGACACTCATTAACAATCATGTCACTGTCTTATGCTTTTCGCACCAATCTGGAACCTGAATCACTAGAGAGATGGTCCTTTGCCTGAAAATCACCAAACAACATATGTCGCATCAAAGAGACACTTTGTTTGTTCATGTTCTGAGCACGCCAGTCTCTTCAAACAGTCCAAGTGACTCACCCCGGGTCCAAATACTTCATGAGGTTCAGTGGTTGGGTGAACTTGGGATAGGTTTGGAGGGTCTTATTTTGTGAGAAGGTATTTTGGAGGCCATCACTACTATAGGTTGGAGGCCATCGCTACTATGGAGGCCATCGCGACTAAGTCCAAGTATTTTGTGAAAAGGTATTTTGGAACCTTACGGAGCACAAGACTGCTGTGTCGACTATTCATTGACGGGAACCCTTGCAACCGTACATGTTTGTCTGACCGTGGCACATCAGCAAAGATCTGCAAAGGCTACCAAATGACACACACAGACATTTATGGATATTACACAGTACACATCAATTTTGTCTATATGCTTTATCATGCTATATGTGTATGATCATATCCGGCATGCGCTCTACGCTTCCATTCGGGCGCCCATTCCACGCCCGCCGATGTGTCTCGGTCCGGTCGCACATTCGGTCCCGCCACCGAGGCGTGCGACGAACCACGGCAGCCGAGTCACGCACGGGCCAGCTGTGGACACAGAAACACACCGTTGTCATATAAAACTGACAAGAAAAGGCTGGTTGTCCCGATGGATAGAGCAACAATAGCCATGGATTGGATTAGCATTGCTGTGACCTGCGAAAAAGTAAATAAACATAACATGAAACGGTTTGGTCACAAAACAAACATATATATATATATATTGCGTATTGTATATATAGTCGAAATTATACAGAAAATCATACAACACCCAAAGGGATTGACTTGGGCACCCGAACATCTTGCCAGGCGCTGCAAGACATCCTGAGCAAGATGTTAACGGGTGATACGACATCCTGCTTGCGGCTCAGGGCATGGCGGGCACGGTTTCAGTTTTGCATTCGTTTGATCATCACTCGTTGCCGAATGACACGAAGCGAACAGGAACAAGGCGGCTGGAAGAGGCTGGAAGGCCGGTTTTGCACTACAAAACCTCATATGTACCAATGACCAGCCTACCTCCACGTCACACGACCACCAAACATTGGTCATCTCCGGGTCATTGAACAGGGATGTTCGGCCCGCCGCCAGCCCAGCCTCCCCGTCCAAGCACCATTGGACGTCCCCCAACGGTGAAGGGGCGACACCATCAGGTCACGCAGTTGAGTGATAGGCCGGCACATGGATCGAGTGCTGTGCCGAGACAAACAAAGCATCACTGTGTTGAGAGAACATCTTAAAGTCACCAATCCCACGCCAATCAATCAATAGGAACATCTTACATCCTGATCCGATGGAATCCCAAGGCAATTGCGAGCAATCGGCAAAATCTGTAAGCCGGCAAAAGAAGACATCGCCGTTCGCCGTTGAAATAGCTTCCAGGTTCCCTTGAAGGACAATTGCAATCAATTGTACAGAACCAAGCCAAGCCCCACAAACACGTGTCACGCAATATTGACCTGCACCCTGAACAAGACAAACATGTCGTATCAAGCCAAGCTTCAATACAGAATAGCTTTGCACGTCCGGGGAGAGTCCAGAGGCCTGAGAATGGACTCTGGATGATGAGACTGTTGGCGTTGCTTGGCTCAACGAAAAGCTTCGTCTTTCTTCTCTGGGAGGGTGAGCCACGAAGTGGCTGAAACAAGTGAAGTAAACATGTCCGACCAACGATTGGTCCTAACATCAAAGTGAGGCATATTGCCATCCACCACGAGGACTGTGGGTATCTGACAGCCTTGTCCGACTCCAACCAGCACTTCAAGCGGCGTATACCATTACCGGGTGGCATGCCTGCTTGAGCGGCGTTTCTTTTTTGCCATTTTCTATAGAATAAGGAATACCTTTAGAATGACCGTGACATATTCGGTTGAAGCCCGTCCCGCCACCGGCCTCGCCGAAGCGCAAGAAGTCCAGGACCTGGCGGAGTCTTTGGTGACTTTCGGAATAGTAGGTTTTAACTAAGTTCGATGCATGTGAAAACAAAAAAACAAAACATATCTTAATATACAGATTGATTCATTATGTCCAAGTCTGGCCTGTAGATTCTTAGATGGAACAGATCTAGATCCGTAGATCTAGATATGTCTACTTTTGTTGATTCTCGGGTCAAGTCGCAAAAGGAACATAATGGTAACTGCAGGCTTCATGGTCTTCATTTTCAAAAGCCTAGCAGGCTGCCACGCGTTCATCCATTCTCCATCCCCCAAAAGCCGCACAAGCTCCGCACACGATCCCTTTTCTTTTTTCTCTGGCGGAGACGCCTTTGGCAGTCCCAACGTGGTTCCCAACCCGTGAAATTCTCGAGACACCCTCTCAGTTCAACAACAACTCACTGGATCCTGACATCCAAAGAAACTAGTCCGAGTCACTGGGAAGAATGGTTGACCTGTGGAAGGATTGTTGCTGAGATACTGTGAGAATGTGTAACTGCCTCCTTCTGGGCTGAGGATTTCAATCATCGCTACAAAGAGAGGTCTAGCTGCCTAGCTCCTCTCTCAGAATTAAAATGACACAATTATATATATATATATATATGTATGAGCCTTCCGGGTGAGCTGGTGCTTTAACCCAGCATAATATATGTTCTTTTTCCGGAAACCGACCCGTCGAAAAAACGACACCATGTAGAGTTTCACGATGTCTCCCGTACGTTTTGCCCATTGAAAGCTTCGCTCCATCCTGTTCCTAGCTGTGACCTCAACGGTGCCCCCCTTGCTCTCCGTTTCCTCCAGGGTCCTTGCTCCGAGGTCAGCTACGCCCGGCTTTGTAGGTGGCACTGGCGCTGTGCAAGTCTCCGGTCATGTAGGGCAAGTGAAACATCCCGTTCGAGGGGTGATCCTGCATCGACCACGCAACGAGCGAAACGGCGCGGTTCGGACAGCGCCGGGTGATGCGGCGGCCGTTCAGAAGGATGGATCCGCGATGTGGGCGGAAAAAAACGGATGTTGGGTGTTGGGTGTTGATGAGTGGACTGAATTGGGTGCAGGTCAACACCTTGGCTGGGTGGTTTCTGACCAGGACTTCTGGCTGAGGTGGAGAATGATAGCAAAAGCTTGGGAAGGTCGGGCAGCTGGACTCCAGGAGGTTCATCCCACCAACAGAAACTCGAATGGCACGACTCCGGGAGCGCAGCGCGGGAGTGCAGCGCCGTCGGTTGCGGCTCCTCCCCGTTCTGGTTGCGGCTTCCAAAGTTCTTGAAGAACTCGGCCTGCAGGGTCGTGGCAAGGTTCGTCAACATGGCGCAAAGAAACACCCCGTCTGAAGGAAAAGTAAAGTGGCACTGGAACATACTGGAACCATGAGTGGCCTCAAGGTATTTCATTCACCCATGGCGTAGGGTTATTCAGCGTGGCAAACAAAACATGCACCTGGACGAAGCAACACTTATCTCATCAACATGCCCATATATACCAATGAAATACCATCGCCATACCTCCGCAAAAAGATCACTCGCTATATGTCACGCGTGCTCGTGCATGCAAAAACGCCCGCATTCGATCCAAGACAAATGGACGCGCGAGCCGCGTAAGCGCTAGCCGCACACGTGTGTGCGTGCCTGCATGGGATCTTCTTGGAAGAAGGCCCAGTTGCTGGGTGCCGGACGCCTGTGTCCCAAACAGCGGCTGAGCATCTTGATGCTGCTGGAGATCGTGGTCATCCACGAAGCCTGACGCGTTTAGGACAAGTGACGTCGACCGTGGCGAGGCAAGCCCAACATCTCTGAGGAGAATGGGCTAACCATTGCCAAAAAGCGCATATATATATATATATATATACATGGATCTTCCAACTATGCAACATGTCTGCCCTTTTGGCTGGTTTTATAGATGGAAAGGCATACATTTTGCATAGGGCATAGTTGGAAGATCCAGGTATACATTATCATTCAACGCAACCACCAAAAGGAAACAATGCCTCCAACCTGCCATTAAGTTGACATGTGTGCTCCTGCTTTCCATGACAGTCACCTGGTATAGAAAACAACTTGCGTACTGGCTGGTCGGAAGAGTACAGTGTAGTGTATATTTGCTGCATGTACTTCAGCTCTTAAAGAACAATACAAACACGTGCAAGAAGCTCTCATCCCCTACTCCGTCTGTAACCTTCCACTGAAGAAGCGGCGCACCTGAAGGAGGAAAATGCCCACCACCAGCAGGGAGCACACCACATTGTCCAGGCTCCTTTTGCTGCGCACACGCACAACTGCATAACCACTTCACCAGCGAAACGGTTTTTTACATCCATTCACCAGCTAGTGAAGCCTGAATGAACGACACGACCCGGCATCCCCAACCTTCCCTTTTCCAACTCTTACCTGTAGATCTTGGACGATCCGACAAAGGTCACACCTTTCATCCCCAAGACACAAGCGGTGCTTGTTCTTCCTAAAACACACATGACCCGGCGTTCCCCTCCAAAACAAAGGCGTGTTCTGCGCACCCGCCCCACAGGTAGTCCTGAGCACTGCAATGAAGACTTCCTGCCCATAGGACAGGTCACCCTTGTGAACTCCTGCCAACCAATGGGCCACCGACGCCCAAATGAAGAGCGCTGAGATCACCAGCAAAACCACCAGGAGGACCTGAAGGATCCGGCGACCTTTACTTTGTGCCCATCTGCAGGGAGTAGTCAAAAGCGTTATTTGGATAATGCGTGTACACTGTATATATGTCTACTTTGTATTATGTATATGTCTACTAATATGTATATGTTATATATATATATATACACATGTGCTTTAATGTCTACTTGATGTATTTCTTTCTTGGTTGGAAGGCGTACATGATCCACATGTCTTTTCTCACAGCAAAGAGACACATATTCTCTGTGGAAGGTTCTGGAGGAAACCATTGTTAGTCCAACAAGTTTGTAGGCCCTGTTTCAACACATAGACATCACCTGCCGGCACCTATAAATCCTATAGAGTATAGAGCTTCATCCACCAATTCATCAACCCAGCTTCCCATGTAAAGGCTTCATGGTTTTCGTGGGTGAGTCTTCGTGCCACCCTTTTTCATGGTGGCATATTATAGATGAACTAGATGCTCTCCTCCTCAGATGAGTCACAGGTATATCATGGTATATCACGTATATCACATGACCACCCTCACGCACCGTGGAAACTCCGGCCATCCAGCCGACGCCCAGCGACAGGGGTGGCGCTGGACTTCCATGTGAGGACCTTCGTCAAGGCCAAGATGGCCGGGATGCTGGCGTGACGAAGGTCTTCAATGATGGGATAGATCCTGGGCAAGGTCACTCGATCGTTGTTTGTCTTGCGAACAAATTGCGAGTCTAGCGGTTGAAGATCTTCGCCAGAATGCCAGATCTGCAGCATCCTACCTTTGGTTCATCATTTACACTGGCACCTACTGCATAATTTTGATCGTTGGGCAGGATGCGAGAGGCACTGTTCTCGGTGATACACAAACACACCAAAGCCATAGAAATGGGACCATTTGCAAACACCGCCCCCACAGAAACATGCAACTTTTTGGGTGTTTTGGGGTGAACAGCCACACCAAAACAGAATCTCTAAACAAGAGCCATTTACTTAAGCCATGCCGCTTTATTTATTATTTATTTGGGGTCCTTCCTCCCATGTGTCGCCCAGCGTCGACTTCATGAGGCTGTCCAAGGGGACCACAGAGGGGATCTCTGGAACCTTCATCCCCAAGGCATCTGCGCGCAACAGCAGCTGCCGAGCACGGACCTCCGTCGACGCATCGGACGCGTCGGAGGGGATGGGATCGGTCGCCGATCGTCTCTTTGGTTCGATGCAGGGGAGTCAGGGGAGATAGGAGGGATGGAGATGCACCGTTTTCTGACGTGCTCCCCGCCATGAGTGAAGAATCATGTGGAGCAGCTGTCTGTAGTGAACAAGAGAAAACAGTTCTATAGAACCTATAGTTTACCCAAGTGCGACGTGTCAGTCTTTGCCCAGTCAGTTAGCTATCTTCGAGGTCAGCATAATCTTCTGGCCAACAAGGCGGCCACCAAACATTCGACTCGAACAGGGCTCCCTATGTCTCTGGTCTGTGGATGTCTGTGGAGGAGACCAAATTGGATGTAACCAAGCTGGTACAGGTCAAACACATTAAGTGCCTTTTTCTCACTGGTTCTCAGTGTCCCTAAACATCAGCTGTCCCAAACATCGGTTCTGCGATCCCGTTGAACCGCATTCGCTTCGCCTCCTCCGGAGGCTTGTCTTCGGCCAGCAAGGTCTTCCTCGGTTCCGTGAGGAAGAACGACCGGATCCACCGTCCTCTGAAAGGAACGTCTGGGTGGGTACACAACAAGCCCTTCTTTCGTTTGTTCAACCAATCCCATTCATTTGGGGAAAGGACTTAGGTTTACTTTCAAATCGACTCTTCGTCTTGTGATAATCTAAATCAGATCCTCCTCCTCTTGATCTGATGCTAAGGGACTCCGCCGACCGGGGCGACGTCCATCGGATGGGGCGTCGGGCGTTTCTTTCACAGCGGAATCGAGTGGATTTCTCTCCATCCACCTCCGGTTCTTCCCGCGCAAGGCCCGTCCCCACCCTGACGCTCTTCATATACCTGGAGCCTGAGTGACCCCTGTTTTGGAGGATCAACTATCCAAAATATGGTCTTTTCCTATCAAAACAAAGGTCAGTCAGGCTCTAGGTATGTATGACAATAATATTGACCTACATTCGGGTGTGTTCAGGTTTCAATGTCAGGTAGATCTTCCAGTCTCATGTTTCGGGTCTGGCAGTGACTTCTTCCACTTTGCAACGATCCCAACTTCCCCCGATCCCGACTGAACAAGCATGAATTAAACCATCCAAGCATCTCATACGAGACCCGCACGCGCTCGCCGTCGCTGGAGACCACGTGCGCGGGGAAGCGACCATCCACCCACACCGAGGCCCCCCGGATTGAACGAGACCT